TTTGCAGAACCAGGGATTGAACTCAGGCCCTTGCGCTTGCCAGGGAAGCGCTTATTCCACTGAGCCATCTCCCTGGCCCCAAGGTCTTGAGTTTAATCACACACACACACACACACACACACACACACACACACAGTCAATCTAAATAAAAACAAATGTTCAGGGGCAGCAGTGTGGCTCAGTAGTGAGCGCCTGCCTAGGACACATGAGGGCCTGGATTCTGCCCCCAGCACTGAGGAAGAAAAATCAGCGTTTTATGGGGTGCATCAGAGTCCCGAGTACTGCGATGCTTCGTCCAGGCCCTGGCAAAGGGCGGGTGAGTGCGTTTAAGGAAGCTGGGCAACTGGCAGTTTAAAAGACAATAATAAAGACAGTTATGTCAAATATTTTGAAACAACAATCTTTGGTCACCCTGATTAATAACAAACACAGCGCCAGCTTGAGCTGAAGAGTTAGATTCTGGCCAGATATCCTGGTGCGAGGACTTCTTGTGTAAACTTGCTGTGAGTCTATCCAAGCTTGCGGTTTTTGCAGAGGTTTTCTGACAGTCATCATTAGGCAATTGTGCGTAAGAGCACTTCCTTCTTTGGGTTTGAGACAGGGTCCTTTTTTTTTTTTTCATTTTTTGCTGAGGACCGAACCCAGTTCTTCCAGCTTGATAGGAAATCATTCTACCACTGAGCTAAATCTCCAGCCCCTGAGACTGGGTCTTGCTATGCAGCCCAGGCTGGCCTTGAATTCTTGGTGATCCTCCTTCCGCAGTCTCTAGAGTCCTGGGATTATAGGAATGGGGCATCATGCCTGGCACAGGATTTTAGGATTTTTTGGGGGGGGTGCTGGCTTAGGCTGCGTAGAGGGCGGGTCTGTTGTAGCACGTGGAGCTGGGGGTCGAACCGCGGTCCCCTGCGCCCAATTGAGTTTGCCCAAGCAGGCGCTTTAAACAACTGAGCTAACCCCCAAGCCCCCTGGCACACAAAATTTTAAAATTCTTACTTAAGCTGGGTGTGGTTATGATATAGAGCTGAATTAAGTAGCTAAATTAGGTAGAAATATTATAGGCAGTCAGACAGGGGTGGGCCCTCGAGGGAATCAGTGGAGGTAAAAATAGATTACAACCATGCCTGGAGACCCATCCCTTGAAGGCCAGGCCTCAAGACAGAGGAAACAACCAGGCCTGCATACCTCCCCGAGGATAAGCAATGTGCTTGAGCTGGTGTCACCTGGTCCAAAGAAGTCTGTCATCAGTCACCCACCCAGTGGGTGAACTGAACCTCCTGACCCATCTCTTCCCAAAAAGGTGCCGGTTCTTCCCATGTACACACCCCTACATGGCCTGCTTCCCCGAGGGTCACACCACCTATATGGCTCTGCTCGTGTTCTTGTGGTCACAGCTTTGTCCCACTGTGTTCTGACATCCTGTTTTTGCCCCCAATCTGGTGATCTTCCTCTA